GGCGGGCCCAGACTGTCGGGGCAGCCCCTGCGCTCAGTCCCACTGGGGCTGCGGGCGCCCCGCTCCAAGTCCTCCGCTCCTCCAGGGGCGCTCTGGGGCCGGGGGAGGGGGGGAGCAATATTCAGAGCCAGGGGAGAGACCCAGCTCCAAATATTGATGGAGCAGGGCCCCCGGCTGTAACTATTGCTGGAGCCTGGGCACCATGAGCCCCTACAGCACCGCCCATGCTGAGAACAAGATACCAAGGGGCAAGAGAAACCAGGAGGGGGAAGAGGAGCCCGAGGTGCGGAGTATTTTGAACATGGAGCCATGGGGCTGGCAGCCTCGCTGGGCCCCTGGGCTAGGCAGGCGGGTGGCCCTGCTTTTTGTCCCCAGAAGGGGCGGAGTCTCAGGCAGAAGGGCCACACCTCCCTCAGGAAGCGCTCAGTGCTGCCTGAAGCACACCATGTGGTGCTCTGGCAACAATTTAAAGGACGTGGGGCTCTGGTCACCATAGTGGTGGCAACCAGGAGCTCTGGGCTCTTTTGTATTGCTGGGGCCTGGGATGTTGCCTCCGTTGCATGCCCCTCTATCAGGCCTGACATGGTTAGCATGTGGACAGAGACTAAAGAGCAAGCTGTACAGAGATTGTTTCTTCCAAATAACCGAGCCAATGCCACTTGTGATGCCCTGTGAAGTGTACATGTACATAAGGGAAGGAGATTTGGAGGTATTCCCCATCCTGGAGTAGGATCAATTCAAGTGTAGTTTGATTGTTTGCCAATAAAGAAACCTCAGTAATGAGGAGTTCTTGTGAACCCAGTTGTAAAGGTCTCTGGTGTCAATCCAACATTCTTCTGATGGGGTGAAGTCTCAGAAGCTACCCCCAACGTTAAGCTGCACTTATAATTTTTCACTGTGCTAGAGCAGAGTCCACATGGGATATTACTATGCACCAGTTTGCTGGTCAATAGTCTCACATCCTAGCTTACTGCCAGCTATTGTGTAGATGGGCCATTATTTTAGTTTTACAATCTGTGAAGCAATGAGCAGTTTGAAGTTGATCTGCTCAGGCCCTCAAGTTCAGGCTAGGGATGTTAGATAGCATGTAAATGAATATTTGTGTAACCACAACAAATCTGAGTGGTTACACAACTATCCTATAGTCCTGGTGTGTGGGGTAGGGAGGTCAGAGGCCGGTGTGTTTCCAGCCCCACTCCTGGGGGAGTTCCCACCTGCTCTTCTCATCCTCCAGTCTGTGTGGGGGCAGGGGAGGGCACGCAGATTCAGCTCCCTACAGGCACCAGCCCCAACTCCTCCCCCTTGCTGCCTCTGCTACAAAGATAAAAGGGGAGGGGGAAAATGTGTGTAGTCAACAGGATTATCCAATAAGCCCAGGTTTATCCGTTAATCTTGTAGTCATCTACACATTGACATCCCTAGTTCAGGTTGCATTTTTTATTATTAAATAGGTTATTGATTTCTTTGGGTATAAATCAACAACTGACAACTTGTATGAAAACACTATTCTGGATACTCTGACCAGTACAGATATAAATATTGAGGCTAAATATCAAGTATATACAATGTATGGCAGGTCATAGTATCATGATAATATTTTCCCTTTATAGATTTATATACTTGGATTTAGGGTAACATGAAATTGCTGCTGTCTAGAATTGTGTTCCAATAGTGCCAAAAGAAATAGAAAGTGACTATACATTATAAAAGGTGGTAATGCTGCAATAAATAGGTGGCTTCACTTCTACTATTTCATTTGGCAGCGTGCTTGTTTATGCTCAGATCCCAAGCACTGGGCAGGGTCAGACATATTTCTGCATTTCTGATTATGCATTGGAGGTAGTTTGAATTAAAGATGAAAGAGGTTATTGGCCTGCTTACAAGGTAACCAGTTAACTTGCCTGGCCGGCTGGACTCTGTTTGCGGTCGCAAAGGACCCAGCCAGAGCAGCTCCCCTACATCCTGTGGGCAGAGCTGGAGCAGCAGCCATCTCTGCGCTGCCGCCCACTGCCAATAGCTGGAGCCATAGCAGCCTCTTCCTCCCTGGCCAGAGATAGAGAGTGGCATGTGTGTTTAAGGCTGCTCCAGGGTTAACTGGTTAAGCCTAGTGTTTACATATTACAATTACAATTTTAAACATTAATTAACATCCCTAGTTTGAATGAGTGTTTCCATTTGGTACTATTGTTGCATTATTGGTATTATAGCAGTGATACTCCGACCGCAGTAGTTCAGGAGCCTAAATAGAGATCAACATTGCGCAAAAGAACCACAGTAGTGTGAATGACAGAGGAAACAATTGGTTTAGGTAATTATGATCACAGCAAGTAAGTTATCCTAGTAAGCATTCAATATATATATAGCTGGATTAAATTAAAATTGTTTGTTTGTGACACTTATCAAGCAATTGAACAGTTCAAGTTTTGTACTATTAGAAGAGTGAGGTGAAAAAAAAAGCAGTAATAAATGTTATCTTTTTTTTTTTAATTACCACAAAACAGGTTAATTTACTCAAACTGTGGACAAAAGGCTACCTGAATTTATTAATTCACTTTGAGCAGAATAACAGAAAATGTGAGTTAATTTATAATTGGGCTAAAAGTTACTGTCAGGGTGAATCTGCTTGAAGATCTAATACCTCCAAGCCTTTAGTTTGAACGATCAAACTAAAGTACTCTTTAGCTTCAGAAGATTGAATGCTCAGGCTGGATCCTACTCTCAATAAAGTCAATGGGATTTTGCTGCTGGCTTCAGGAGAAGTAGAATGAGGTCCCACGTACATAAGAGTTTGAGGAAGCTTTCAACTGAACATCATATGCAGTCCTTCGGGATTTCTGGGCTGTGAGTCTAATGGTTTATCATTATATTTGCCTTCACACTTAAAATTGAATGATTTTCGGTTCCCAACAGATATGGCTGGCGACTTTTTACATCAAAATAGTTATACAGGCATCATAATCTCACCAGGAACAGAATGTGACGTAAGTAAAAAGAACACTTTCTCTCCCCCGCCCCCATCACTACCTGCTAAAGCACAGGTGGGGAACCTTCACCATGCTAGCTGCACATGCTTCATCAGGGTTAGCCGCTGGTGAGTCATGAAGGCTGTATCTAGACTGGCAAGATTTTGCACAAAAGCACTTACTTTTGCGGAAAAACTTGCAGGCTGTCTACACTGTCCGCTTGAATTTGTGCAAGAGCACTGACGTTCTAATGTAAGAATTCAGTGCTTCTTGCGCAAATACTTTGATGCTCCCTCTCAGGGATAAGCCCTCTTGTGCAAGAATACTTGTATAAGAGGGCCAGTGTAGACAGGCACCTTAATTTTTTGCGCAAGAAAGCCCGATGGCTAAAATGGCCATCGGAGCTTTCTTGCACAAAAGCGCGTCTATACTGGGCATGGATGCTTTTGCGCAAAAGCATCCATGCCCAGTATAGACGCGCTTTTGTGCAAGAAAGCTCCGATGGCCATTTTAGCCATCGGGCTTTCTTGCGCAAAAAATTAAGGTGCCTGTCTACACTGTGTTCAGCTGAGTGTCTGCAAGCATGGAGCCCCACAACTCCCAGTGGCTGGGAATGGTAAAACACAGCCACTAGGAACGTGGGAGGTGGGGGAGTCCATGCCTGCAGATGCTCATGTAAACAAACCACCAGCAGCTAACTTTCATGAACTGTATTCAGTTCATGACCCCACCGTTGCAGCACTAAAGAGAATATAAATTTCAACAAAGACATTTCAGCGTATTAAACTATATTTTATTTCAACACTTTTCAGACTTTTAAAAACTAAATTAAGGCACAGTTTAAGTCATGCGCTATTCTAAACTGCAATTATTTTGTAATAACAGAAACTTTGTGTATTCTATAAACCCTAAAAAGAAAACAAAATAAAAAAAAAAAGAAAAGAAAGATACTTTATTATTGGCACCAACAATAAATCAGTAATACCCTGGTACTATTTCTGGACTGCCTTCCACGTATTGAAATAAAAGGATTGTCAAGGCAAGTTTACCACTTTTGCACTTTCTTTTCACTAACAAACTGGCCATGAGGGCCATCAGCATCAGGGGCTAAAAGGGCTAAGTAAACAGGAGTCTCAGCTCCCTCATCTGGACTTTTTGTGGCCTTGGGACCTGCCATGTCGGTTCTCACCCATCCAGGGCAACAGGCATTAAGAAGAATTTGATCAGCTTTCCTTTTCTCATTCAACATTCGGGCCTGAATTCTGGACAAGACCGTGACTCCAATTTTGGACACACCATAAGCAGTATTTGGCCAGCCCTCCTTCTCGTGCACTCCGTTCTTGGCATCTTCCACAAACTTTGTCATGAGCTTCACTAGCTCCTCTTCAGTGATTGTCTCACTGCGAAACTTCTGCTGCAGGTCCTCGCTACATCTTGCCAAAGCAGATACGCTTACCGTACTAGATACATTCACCACTCTACCTATTAAAATAAAATTATAAATATATAAAATAAAACATGCCCATACACAACGTTAGGTCTTGATCCTGCAAAGTGTTCCACAAAGATCTGTGTGTGTTGACTGTTTCGCAGAACCACAGTTTAAAAAAAGAGATTAGAGGATATATTTGACATGGCCTATCACTACAATTTTAAACAGGGATGTTTCTGGATAAACAAACAAATCTTGTTCCCACAAAATACTCATGGTCAAACTGTGCTTATGTCCATGATTTATCCCATTAAACAAAAACACAAAAATCAATGGGCCTATGTACAAGAATAACCACCCCACTCATCTATGTTTTGCGAAACGGGGGCATGGGACTTTTGATAGGCACTTTGTTCTCCCTTCTACTTTAAACTGATATGAGTGAATAGGTTTCCCAAAATTCCTAGGTTAGAAGGGCTTTGAAAGCAAGAGAAGCAAAATGGTTCAATTAAACTGGTGTAGTGTGTTTGAGAGAGAGATAGGCTGTCCAGAGCCCATGAAGGGGATCTGCAAGCCAAAAAACAGAGTGCAATGTGTGGGTTCCCTGTGCCCCAGAGAAGGTGGAAGGGGAGTGTGACAAGGATAACTACTGATTCTGCAACTGCATGGCTGTCAGCCAATCCTCCCATATACTGAATGTGTGTAGGGTTTCTTCCTTCTGTGAGGTTCCTCAGTGGACAGTGTCATTATTTGGGATGTGTGCTGAAAAAAAAGAGTAGGTTCTTAAAATCAAAACACCCTTCACAAATTAAAATTATATATCTTTTCAGTATCATTTATCTTTAAAATGGGAAAGTTTGTTTTGAACAAAGCCATGGAACTTTTAATTGGTTTTTGGGGTTGTACAAACAAGTTTTCACAAAACCTAGATTTTAGGGAATGTTTGATCTATGTCCCTTTAAAATGTCTCTTTTTGATATCACAGGATTCTAAGACATTTTCAGAGGTTCAGGCTGGAAAAACAGAAAAGCTACATAAACAGTGAAGTACAGACATCTGTATATTGTTAATAAACGTATTATGAGTTTAATTGATCTGGTCCTGGCCTCTCCCATTCTATTTACTGTTACTATGTGGGCAACTCTTTCATCTTGTTGCACTTATCTCCACATAGGATGGATTTTCACTACCTTTCAAAATATGGTCTTTTTAATGGCATATTTGATGCTGGCAAATGTTTCAGCTTCCAAAACAAGGGCTGCAGTGTATATAAAGTTACACTTCTTTGCAGGGAGACAGCAACAAGATTAGGGAGCTAGGTTTTTTCAGTGATTGGGGGTGCAAGCTTGTACAGCACAGTGAACTCAGCCTCAGTGCTCCATTTTTGCGAGCAAGCAGGACACTGAAATAAACAGCAGGGAATGGGGGTAAGGAAAGGCTACATAGGGCAGCTAGGCAGTGTGGAAAAAATACTGACAATCCTCCAATGTTGCCTAATGGCACAGATAAGAATGTTAAAACAAGAAAGGGATTGGAATAGAAGCAACTTTAGATTTAAAAAGCAGAGACATTCTTTGTGTCAAGACATGCACCAAAGCTATTTTTGTCTTTTTACCGTTGATGCCGCAGAAGTACTACTGTGGGCAGAAAATTTCTACTAACAGAAGGTAGGGACTGCCCCCTTGTGAGAAGCAAGAATAATTCTTGACGATACTTTGGTATTTATTATACTTACCATGAGGCTTTATGAGCGGTAGCAACTCTGTGCAGAAATCCCTTGTTGCAAAAAAGTTTGTCCTCAGTGTAACCTCTACTTGAGTAGCAAATGGAGTGGTATCAGCAACTGTTCATATTGAGAAGAAAAATGTAACATTGAAGTTATGCTCCTAGTTTAATGGGAAAACACAGCTCTGTGAAAACCAGAGTTAGCCCTAATTCTTCTACAAGAGTCATTTCTGTACAAATTAGGAAGCAGGTGTCTAGCAGAGAAAGCACAGAAAAGAAACAGGTACCCAGTACTGCAAAGATGAACATTTTAAAATGCAAAAGGCCCAAATACATATTAAGAGATTAGTGGTCAACTGAGAACTCTCAGTGGCTTGCTGAGAACTCACCTTGGGGTTCTGTGCTCCTCCCACAAAAACTGATGACATAACTGATGCCTCAAAAGAGGACAGGGAGCTGCATTCTTTATATAGATTTAGAGCTCAATCATGAATGTTACACAATGGCGTGGGTTGCTGTTGGTGGTGCAGAGTTACAACAGAAGTTTGTGCGCCAGGATAATGAAAGAATTGCACAGAGATAGGATTCCCATTCAGGCAAACTCAAGCTTTTGAAGGGCTGCAGCAAATGGGCAACTAAGCCTATTTCTTGATTTTGTGGTAGGGAAGGAAGAAACGGGAGTAATGTCATTTTGTAGTAGGTACTCAGATATAGAATGAGGAAGGCTCCTGAAGTAATGTAAGTAGATACAAATTGCTGAAGTCCCCTGACTACATACAACATACCTGCAGGCAACTCCAAGGAGTAGCTGTAATTGAACTCCTACGCTTGGGCTTTGTTAATTACCACCTTACTCGCTCTCTTGAGCAACATGCCAGGACACAAGGTTTTGCAGAATAACTGATCAGTATATTAGCACTGAGACATGAGTCCCAGTTCACAACTGATTTCAATGATTTCAGAAACAGAAATCAAGTAGTGGAGTGTCAAGATAACTGTTCCCAAATAAGACATATAAGTTGTTACTGGGGCAAAAGAGTTTGTTTTTCCTTAACATTTATTATATTTTAAAATTCATTTTAAGCAGATTTCTCCAGATTTCAAGGCAGATGGTTGTGATTTGTGAGTTGTTACAAAAATATGTATCATCTATCCTAGGTGAAAAACAAAACAAAACCAAACAAACGCCCTTTGCTAGAATCACCAAGCACTATTAAATAAGTGGTAGCACTAATAAATAAGTACAATTATGACACTGTATTTATTTATTAGCACTTCCAGTACAAATAAGTACAATTATGACATTGTTGCATCACAGAAACTTGGTGGGATAATACACATGATTGGAATGTTTCTATAGAAAGGTACAGCTTGCTCAGGAAGGATAGACGGGGGAAAAGGGAGGAGGTGTTGCCTTAGACATTAAAAATGAACACACTTGAAGTGAGGTGGAGATGGACATAGGAGACGGATGTGTTGAGAGTCTCTGGGTTAGGCTAACAGGGATTAAAAACAAAGGTGATGTCATGCTAGGAGTCTACTACAGGCCACCTACCCAGGTGAAAGAAGTGGATGAGGCTTTTTTTAAACAACTAACAAAATCATCCAAAGCCCAAAGTGGTGATGGGGGACTTCAACTATCCAGATATAGGGAAAATAACACAGCAGGGCACAGATTATCCAATAAGTTCTTGGACTGCATTGGAGACAACTTTTTATTTCAGAAGGTTGAAAAAGCTACCGGGGGGAAGCTGTTCTAGATTTGATCCTAACAAATAGGGAGGAACTGAGAACAGCAAAACAGAGACAATGAATTTTGGGAAGGCGGATTTTGGTAAACTCAGAGAGCAGATAGGTAAGGTCCCATGGGAATAGACAGAGGAAAAACAAAGTTTGGCAGTTTTTCAAAGGGACATTGTTAAGGGCCCAAAAGCAAGCTATTCCAATTAGTTGGAAAGATAGAAAATATGGCAAAAGACCGCGTTGGCTTAACCACGAGATCTTGTATGATCTATAAATAAAAAAGGAGTCATATACAAAATATTAAAGTAGGACAAATTACAGAGGAGGAATATAGGCAAACAGCACAGGAATGCAGGGGCAAGATTAGAAAGGCAAAGGCACAGAATGAGCTCAAACTAGCTACTGGAATAAAGAGAAACAAGAAGACTTTTTACAAATACATTAGAAGCAAGAGGAAGACCAAGGACAGGGTAGGTCCACTGGTCAGTGAGGAGGGAAAAACAGTAACAGGAAACTTGGAAATGGCAGAGATGCTCAATGACTTCTTTGTTTCGGTCTTCACTGAGACGTCTGAAGGAATGCCTAACATAGTGAATGCTAGTGGGAAGGGGGTAGTGTTAGAAGGTAAAATAAAAAAAACGAACAAGTTAAAAATCACCTAGACAAGTTAGATGCCTGCAAGTCACCAGGGCCTGATGAAATGCATCCTAGAATACTCAAGGAGCTGATAGAGGAGGTATCTGAGCCTCTAGCTATCATCTTTGGAAAATCATGGGAGA